AACTTTCTCCTAGGATCAAAATCTTAGTCTGATAAATCTTTCTCCTAAGATAAGAAAAGAGACCTAGTCTGGTGAATTTTCTCCTAGGATAGAAATCTTAGTCGGATGAATCTTTCTTCTAAGATATCAAAAAAAAAAGAGAAAAAGGACCTAGTCTGATGAATTTTCTCCTAGGATAAACATCTTAGTCTGATGAATCTTTCTGCTAAGATAGAAATCTTAGTCTGATGAACCTTTCTCCTAATATACCAAAAAAGAAGTAGAAAAGAGACCTAGTCTGATGAACTTTCTCCTAGGATCAAAATCTTAGTCTGATGAATCTTTCTCCTAAGATAGAAAACCTAGTCCGATGAATTTTCTCCTAGGATAATAATTTTAAAAAAAGGAAGTCTGAATTTAAAAAAAGGGGGTCATTTTTTTAGTTTTCTTAAGATTATCAATGTTTAGTTTTCCTGAAATCAGGGGGGCCGCCTGGAGAATAGGGTCAGTTTTTACTTTAGTCAAGCTTAGTTTATAGTTTTCTGCAAGCTCAATCACGTTTAGGAGACGCACATCCTAGTCGAGTCATTAATTTTACTCTCATCATTGAATCCTTCATCAGCATCGTAGGTGATTTATATTTTTGTTAACACTCACAGATGTTCCCAATATCAAACTGGGGTAAGAAAATTTCTTTTGTTTTGTCTGTTTTGTTGTAATCACGCGCCCACCTGGAGAACAAGGGAAGACAACTCAAGTTTCTAGTAAAAAGCAATGTCGAAAGAAGACAACTCAAGTTTTAAGGGAAAGCAGTTTCGAAGGAAGACCGTTCAAGTTTTAAGGGAAAATTGTTCAAGGTGCAAGGAAAAACAGTGTCAAGTAATAAGAGAAGACGGTTCAAGTTCAACAATCAGGCGCCCACCTGAAAAAAAGGGAATTCAATTCAGAATGCAATTCAGGTCAGCAACAAAAGAAGCTCGCATCAAGAATGCGAGTTAGCAGTCCTAGATGATCAACATAAGTTAGTCACAATCCATAATAAAAAGAAAAAAAACAAATGAAAGACAAGAAGTGAATCCAAATGCAGAAGTTAATGAAAGATGTGAGCTGCTCAATACAGGGATGAGGTCACAAGCTCTGCATGTCTCATCTTGGTTTGAAAAGCTGAAGAAGATTGAAACAACACCTGCAGCTACCAAGCATCAAGATTCAGATCAGGTTCCACATGAAGAACCAACCAAGACTCAAGATAAAGCTTCAGAAGACTCATAGATAGGAATCTTATAACTCGTTCCTGATAGGCTTAGTTATTCTTTTTTATTTTTGATTTTGATGTAATAACGGGACCACGGACCGGAACCTCAGCGGAACGGCACCTCGACCGACTCTCCACCTCGGTACTCCATCACCTCATTCACTTCTGAACTACATATGACCTGATTCCTTTATATCCAAGGATATGTAGGCAGCTCAGATACCAGGCTCGATCACATTCTCCTTTCTCTTTGTTTTTGGTCTCCTTAAATAAGGGTCGGGTCAAAAAACCTGTCTAGTTTGTCTGAAAACTCTTCGCGTTTCCAGTCAAAGAGGGGCAGCTGTAGACATGTAATTTTTGACCCTCCCCAAGATTTTACATTTTAGCATGTAAATATTTAATTGAGGCTTAATATAGCTATTTTAATTAATTTGACTCTTTTACTTTATTTTATTACAAGAAAATAAAAATTACAAAATAATAGTTTCATTAATATTTTTGTAGTCATTTTTAATCTTGAAAAATACCAAAAAAAATAGTTTATTTTAACAGTCAATCTTATTTTAACAACTATTTTACTTAAGTAGGACTAATTAATAAATGAGGTCATATTTTAGTCTCGTTCGCGGAGAAAGAATAAAACTTGGGCTCGAGCAACTCATTTTTAGGCCTAATTTTGGACCTAGCCCATAATTTCCAAGCCCATAATTCCTATGCCCATACCCCTAACCTAATCCCTACCCCTATATAATAGTACCTAATGCCTAAATAGTGAGGGACACCTTAAAAATCCATTGAATCCACCATTTGTAAAAACGAGCACCCCCATCAGATTTTCATTTCTTCTCCTTCACATTCCAAAAACTGTAGGCTTCATCTTCTTTACAAAACCAGCCACAGATATCTTTTAATCAGTCACACTTCCATCTCAACAAAAAAAACAACACCCATCAGCTAGACATCACCCTCACAACTAACGAGCTGAAAAGCAGCCTATTTCCCGGCGAAATTTCAGCTGTAAAACCATCTCTCAAACAGCCCCGAACCAGCTCAAAAATGACCCCAACCAGCCCAAAACGAAGCCATGTAGTAGCTGCGATTTTCATTCGAGGTTCTCCGATCAAGCTTCGGTTCCGGCTCCTATTCATACCATTATTGCTATAATTCCTTGAGGTTGCTGGGTTCGGCGAATTTGTCGCTGGATTCGTCCTTCGAGGTATCGTTTGAGGTTAAGTTCATGGATCTTAATCCCGTTTTGCTGCTGTCTCGCTATCTCTTTGTTAGATACTTCAATTCCGGCACCAAATTTCTCTGTATTTGACTCCAAATGAGATTAATCAAAGTTGCGGTTTCATTTTTGCTCGTGTAACTATGGAACGTTTTTCTTGAGAAATTGAAACTTCAACTTTCAGGTGCAATTCTTTCCTTTCCCTTTTATTTCTTTTTAGGTGCAGATTAAAGTTTGGTAGGAGCCAAGGTCTTATTGGTTTGATGAATGTTCGAGAGTTGGTTTGAATGAGTTAATTGAAATAGATTTGAATAATTCATTTTCTATGCTTTGGATGTTCTAGTTTCCATTATATGTTGGAGTATCCCTTAAATTTCGATTTCTTGGTTAATTATATGTTGATTAAGACTTGGCTGATTTGTGATTGTTAAGTGAGTCGTGATGCAGTGATGTATTCTGTTGGTTGTTGTTGTGAGTTTTTGGCTCGTTTTGCGGCTTAAGCATGAGATGAGTGCTGGAATTCTGATGTTCTGTCATGTTTTTAGTTTATCTTAATCCATCTAAATTTCTGAAATCGGCTGCAATTCTTTGTTCAAACTCAACTTGATTTGACTGTTGTGCATGTAAAGTAGTGACGACGCCTCAATGCTAAGTGCTGCAGAATCAGTGATATGTTTCTTTGGTGATTTACATTGGTCTTTTGTTTGTCCCTGTTAAAACTAAATGAAAATGACTACTTCAAATCATGATCAGTGTGATTCAATAACTTAGGTATGGTCTGCTCAATTTGTGTCTTTGAAGCATGCTGAAATCCTTTGATGAACACCATATTGTTGCCTTCTGTTTGGTTGTTCATATCGACGTTGCCTTCGGTGTTATCTTCAAATTAATCTCTAAGCCCTAACAAACGCACCTGATGCATATGAGCATCCTCGTTGGTCTAACAGAGTTTAAACACTAAGTGAATACTGAAATAGTTCTTTGACATTCCCTATTTGTCATCGTCTTTGTTTTGGTGTTATTCAGACATTCCGAGACTTTTTTGGGTTCATATGAGAATATGCACGTCTTTAAGATTCTATGGAATCGGATCCATGTTTTCCATTATTCCAATTCTTCATGCTACATTTCCATGTGTTGTAGCTAATGAATATGTCCATTTTGCTCCCCGGAATGTTCACGAATGTGCATCTGCAAGACATGTTTGCATTCTCATTCCGTAGCAAGTTTGTCTTTTACAGAAATTGGAAACTTGTGTCATTTGGATGCAAATTATGTGAGTCATTGAGTTAGAGTTGGAATTAGCTCTTTAAGTGTCTTTATTTCCAAAGTCGGGTGTGCATTTATGTGACCCAAATCAAATCTCAACAACGTTAGATAAAATGTGTCGTGAATCGCGAGTGCATTTATGTGACGTGGTTCAAGGCGTGTTTTAACTAACGTTGAAATCTTCCTAAAAAAATAATTAAATAAAAGCTGTTATAAAGTTAAAATTGCACCATAGGTTAAAACATGTACTAAAATCAAGTAAATTGGCCAATTATAACAGTTGAGCGACCGTGCTAGAACCATGGAACTCGGGAATGCCTAATACCTTCTCCCGGGTTAACAGAATTCCTTACCCGGATTTCTGTGTTCGCGGACTGCAATACAGAGTAAATCTTTTCCTCGATTCAGGATTTGAACCGGTGACTTGGGACACCATAAAATTATCCCAAGTGGCGACTCTGAATTTTTTCATAAAATAATCCCGTTTCGATTGTCACTTAAATTGGAAAAACTCCCTTATATACCCCTCCGCGGGGTAGTGAAAAGGAGGTATGACAGCTGGAAGAGAAGAGAAGAGTCAGGTGCACATACAAAGTTAGAGTCGTAAAGGTTGCATGATAGAAGGTAGCAACAGTTACGAGATTAGAAGGATTCCAACTAAAAGTTGTGGTGAGAGGAAGAGGCTTAAAGGGGGGAATACCCTGGCCTTTGGGATTCATTCACAGAACAGCCGCCTAGATGGCAAGATGAGTACTAAAGTATTCGCAAGACCGATGGGTTATGAGAATGATAAGTACATCAGTCAATATTCGAGGACGAATGTTCCAAAGGGGGGATGTTACACCGCATGTTTTCGTACGTGAAAGTATGCCACAAGTAAATTGATATAGGATCGCAAATGAGATGTTACGTCCCGCATTTTTGTACGTTGAAGTTTAATCATAAGTTAATTGACGTAAGTTCGGGAATGAAATTTATTTTGGGATTATAAGTGTCACGTTATTTAAGCAAATAATAAGTAAATTCGTGAAGGTGAGAGGGTAAGAAAATCGAAAAAAATGAGTTTCGTCAAAGTTTGGCATCTTGGGATAAAGTACGGCCCGAGCTAAAATACCCGATATTTATGAACTAGTACCATACAAGATACCACATGTCCATGATAGTAAGGTGTATAAAGTGTATTAAAAGTGATTATCATTTTTTGTAATTTGAGATAATTCTTAATTTTATGGGTAATTAGTTAATTATTGGTTAATGGGAGATTATCTATTTAATTAAAAAATGTTTGGATAAGACCAACCCTCCCCATGTGGCAGCACCCCCCAATCCCCATGTATTACTCTTAAGTTAAATATATATGTGACAAGATTTGAGGATTTGACAAAATCTTCTAACATCAATTATACACCATTTTAGGAAATGGAAAATTATGTCATAAAGACATAAATCATATCTCCACTTTTATTAAATCAGATTTCAAGAATTCAAAATATAATATCTTGTATCAAGACCAAATCTAGTAACCAAGAAAGAAGAGATGGAAATATGAAATTGCTTCAGAAAATTCATAAAAGATCCGATTATGCGAAAGATGCAATTCTAAGGAAGCACGGTATAATCTTTATCAAGAATATTATACGGATTTTTCTCTACTTCGATCTGCCATTACGTATTGTCCTAATTGACGTGTGTTAGAGGGATTTTTAAGAGAATTGACTTAAGTATGTTAAGGTTATCTCTTCCTTCTTTTGGCATGATCCATATGATACAAACGAAACACGCAAATTCACAATTTCCATAAATGACTCTATTCATCGAAATACTAGAGATGTTTATATTCTTGATTTTCCATGTGTCATACTATTCTATCATCTGTTCATGGGTCTCAAAAATACTTAAGTTGATAAAGTTTATTTCATGATATTAATTGGAGGTATAATGGTCTTATGGCACTCAAAAAGATTTTATTGACGTACTTCTCATGCATTGCATTCATGTACAATGACCCTTGACCAGATGGCTTTATATACTCGTATATATGTATATATATGATCTATGGGAAAAGGTTACGGCATTATATACGCACCACCACCTGATCAGCTAGCATACATTGATGATATTGTCCACAGTGGTCGAGATGATATGATGGGATGCCCTCACAGGCTTGATGATATTATGAACGCATATACTCATGCATGGTATGACTTTTACACGCATATGCAAGACATTTTAAATATTAAAAGATTTATAAAGTTGTTCAGACTTACATGCCGAGTCTTTTACTCCATGTTTCTCTCATGTCTATTATTTATTGATTTTCATTCTTTACATACATGGTATATTATTTGTAATGACGTTCCTTTTGCCTGGGGACGCTGTATTTCATGCCCACAGGTCCCGATAGACAGGTCGAGAGCCCTCCAAGTAGACTTTCAGCTCAACAGAAGATGTTGGTGCGCTATATTTGCTTCGGAGTTGCTTGTTTGGTTAGTATGGTTTAGATGTGTTTTGTTTGGTATGGCGTGACTCTATCCCTGCCTTTAAAAAATTATGTATTCTTAGAGGCTTATAGATAGATTTCATGTACGTAAATTATGGCATGACTCTATCCCTGCCTTTATAAAATTATGTATTCTTAGAGGCTTATAGATAGATTTCATGTACGTAAAATATTGTATGGCCTTGTCATCCTATTTTCAGTGTACGAGTGGTTATTTTGGTCTTACAGGCACGCATGTCTTATGCATAAGTTGGTATCATATGTTGTATTCTACCTATCTCACGGTAGCCTTTCGACTCATTTATCTATTATAGTATGACATGAAAAGATACATTATGTTGGTACTCAGTTGAGTAAGGTACCGAATGCCCGTCGCGGCCCATCAGTTTAGGTCGTGACGTTACATTACGATGATGATGTTACACCCTGTAGTATTATACGTGAAATTGTCATAAGATAATTCACCTCAGTTAAAGGGCAAGATTATTTGGAGATTATATGCATTATGTTATTTCAAACAAGTGATGAGTACATTCGTGAAAGTGAGAGGGTAAGCAAATCAAAGAAAATAAATTTTCGTCAAAGCTTGGAAATTTAGGATAAAATACGGTCCGAGCTATAATACCCGGTATTTATGGACTTGTGCCATAGAAGGTACTACATGACCATGATAGTAAGATATACAAGGTATGTTAAAAATGAGTAGTATTTTAAGTAATTTAAGATAATTCTTAATTATGTGGGCGATTGGTTAATTATTGGATAATGGAATATTACTCAATTAATTAAGTATTTATATTAGATAGAGATTAGGGGCATGAGGTCGCAGCCCCCCTGCAAATTGAAATGACTCATGATACAAAATGAAAGGTGGCATCTAAAGTGTCATACTAATGACACTTACGTAAAAGACTACCAAAGACAATAAAAGTTTGGATTGTGGTCTTCATTGGCCTTAAATTAATCAAGGTAAGCATATAAGCTTTCTTCACAAATCCAAACATTTACAAGAACATAAGTTAATCTCACTCCAATAAGAACGGACATTGATCTTGAAATAAAACAATTCCAACGAGATTTCTTAGCACCGTAGAAACATGAGATTTTGTGGTTCTAAAGGAGTATGGTAAAACCTTTTCCAAGAATATCATATGGATTTTTTCCTACTCTAGGTATGTTAAGGCTATTCCTTATTTCTTTTGGCATGATCTATACAACACAAACAAACCCAGCAAATGTACAATTTCCATACATGGCTCTATTCATAGAAATACTAGAGATGCTTATGTTCTTGATTCCCCTTGTGTCATATTATTATATCATCTGTTCATAGGTCTCAAAAATATGTAAGTTGGTAAAGTTTATTTTATAATATTAATCAGAGGTATAATGATCTTATGACGTGCTGAGAGTTTTTTCATGACCCTAAACCGGGACTCGGTCGTGATGGTGCCTCTCGTGAAGACAAGGCCAGTCGATGCTTTCCACTTCAATTTTTTTAACAGTTAAATCATAAGTAATAAGTCTAAAGCACAATAAATAAAATCTCAAAGTAGCAGATAATAACATAATTTGCAGAATACAATGCAACACAACCCGATACTGGGGTGTCACTAGTCATGAGCATCTACAAGTTCTAATACAAGTCTAAGAAGTCTATAAACTATTAAAAACTGTTTGATAAAGATATAGAAATGATAAGGGGGAGAAACACGGGATTGCGGACACCAAGCAACTACCTCGCGGACTCCAAAATCTGTCGGGAGCTCTCAACTCGCACTGGCAGGATCTGCAACACCTGAATCTGCACACGGGGTGCAGGGAGTAAAGTGAGTACTCCAACTCAGTGAGTAATAATCATAAATAAAGACTGAAAGCAGGAAATCACGTAAGCCACATTGCATGATATATTGGAGCAGTAAAACCATTAAATATGGTGAATCAGTAAAGGTACGAATAATCATATAAGTCCAATTTAAACATTAGGAAATACCTTTTCAACAATTAAATAGATAAATGACAGACAAATAAGACAGATAAGCACATAATGGTTTTTTCCCCTCGGACACAACGTCAACAATACCAGCCACTTGGGCTATCTCTCACATCACAATGGGTACTCGCGCTCACTAGGGGTGTACAGACTCCTGGAGGGGCCCCTTACGGCCCAAGCACAATATCAAGCCATCTCGTGGCATCATCACTAGGCTCTCGGCCTCATATCAACAAGCCACCTCATGACATACAAATATCAGGCCCTCGGTCTCGTAATCATAATCAGTGTATCACCACTACGGCGTGCAGCCCGACCCAAAAGTATCCTCATAACACAAGCACTCGGCCTTACTCAGTCAAAATTCTCCTAAGACACTCGGGCAACAGTAAAAATTGGTGCTCAGCCCAAAATATTATTTGAAATATCATTTAGTATGTTAAAATAGAGTAAACATGGCTGAGTTATGAAAATAGTAAATTATAGCATGACTGAATACAAGTATAAAGTCAAAAACATTGAGGAAATACCAATAACAATCCCCCAAGGTTTCAAATAGTTGGCACGAGGCCCAAAACATGATGTTCACAAATAGATTTCAGTCAAATACACGATAAAATAGTCATTTGGGACGGACTAAGTCACAATCCCCAATAGTGCACGACCCCACGCTCATCATGAAGCATGTGTGTCACCTCAATATAGCACAACGATGTAAAATCCGGGGTTTCATACCCTCAGAACATCATTACAATCATTACTAACCTCAATCCGGTCAAATCTCTAGCCTGCGACGCCTTTGCCCCTCGAATCGGCCTCCACTCATGTCGAATCTATCCAAAATCAGAATCACAGTGTTAAAATATGCTAAGGGAACGAAGCCCAAGCAAAAATATTCAATATATGAAACAAATCCCAAAATTACCAAAACCCGAACCCCGGGCCCACGTCTTGGAATTCGATAATTTTTACATCAATAGATTCCTTATCTCCCAACGAGTTCATACTTATCTACAGTTCTAAAATCTGACCTCAAATGGTCCTTCAAATCCTCAATCAAAGGTCTAAGTTTCCAAGCCCTAGCTTCCCCAACCTTTGATCTTTAAATTCCATAAATTACAAGCCTAATCCGTGAAATAATACTGTAGAAATGAGTTTTAGGTCCAAAATCCTTACCTCAATGAAGTTCCATTGAAATCCCTCTTTAAAATCGTCCAAAAAGCTCCAAAGCCAAATTAAAAATTTTGAAATAGCTCAAAAATCACGAAAGACACAATTTATACCTTCTGGCCCAGGCATTTTTGCATCTGCGACCAATTTACCGCTTCTGCGATACCACATTTGCGGTCAACCAACCGCTTCTACGGTTTTGACTTAAGTTCCCATACTTCTGCATCTGCGATGAAATATCCGCATCTGCGACATCACAAGTGCGGTCCTCCTAACCACTTCTGCGGTTTCTGCCTCCCTAGATCATCTCCGCTTCTGCGGCTCCCATCCTCGCACCTGTGGTCCCCAATCCGCATGTGCAGAAATACCAAAAGCAGAAAAATCTGCAACTTCACAAAATCTCAAACTCTCCGTTAACCATCCGAAATCACCCTGAGGCCCCCGAGACCTCAACCAAAAGCACAAACATATCCCATAACCTCATTCAAACTTATACCAATCTTCAAAACACCTCAAAGAACATCGAATCAACCAAAACTCATCGGATTTATGCCTAAGTTTCCAAAAATCTTCTGAATTCTGCATTTGATAAAAAACCTAACCAAACCATGTCCAAATGACCTGAAATTTTGCACACACATCCCAAATGACACCATAGAACTACTACAACTCTTGGAATTCCATTACGACCCCTATATCAAACTCTCACCTACCAACCGGAAATCGCCAAATTATCAACTTCGTCAATTCAAGCCTAAATCTACTCCGAACCTCCAAAACTCACTTCGATCATGCTCCTAAGTCTCGGATCACCTCCCAAAGCTAACCGAACCATCGAAACTCACATCCGAGCCATCTAACACATAAGTCAACACCGGTTGACTTTTCCAACTTAAGCTTCCTCAAAAGAGACTAAGTGTCTCAAACCTTACCAAATCATTTCCGAACTCGAGTCAACCAACCCGCTCATGTATAGAACCGATAGGAAAAGCAATAAGAAGCAGAAATGGGGGAAATGGAGCGGTAACTCATGAGATGACTGGCCAGGTCGTCACAAGATTTTATTAATATATTTTCATATGCATTTACATATGCATATTGACCCATGACCATATAGCGTTATATACGCGTATATATTTGTATATATATGTATATGGAATATGGCAAAAGGTTACGGCGTTATATACGCACCACCACCTGATCAGCTAGTATACATTGATGATGTTGCCCACAGTGGCCGAGATAATATGATGGGATGCCTTCAGAGGCTTGATGATGTTATGAACGCATATACCTATGCATGATATGACATTTATATGAATATGGATGACATTATAAAAATTAAATGATTCACAGAGCTATGCAAATATACATGTCGAGTGTTTTACTCCATGTTTCTCTCATGTCTATTATTTACTAATTTTCATTCCTTACATACTTGGTACATTATTTGTACTGACGTATGTTTACCTTGAAAATGGTATTTATAATTAGATTTGATTTTGTGATTCTTATAATACGTGATCTATTTTTTTGCTAGTTGTTAGGTGATAGATGCTAAGTGTGATATTAGAAAAAAAGGTAAGAACTCGAAAATAGTGTGCTTAAGCAAACCGAGCGGCTGAGAATCGGGGCCTCGAGCCTAATTATTCGGGGCCTCGAGGTCGGATTCGATGCCAAGCTAGGGGCAGGCGATGAAGGCCTAACATATTGAGAGCTTTGACGAAGGCTCTTTATGGTCAATAATGAGCAATAAATGAAGAACAATAAATAGAACACAACAAAAGTAAGCAATAAATGTAAGTAATGAAATCAAGAGAATATGTTTAAGTTAGAAAGCAGAGAGAATGTTCTTGTATTGAATGTTGTAAGTATCAAAGAGAGATCTTACGAAATGACAAGGATCCCCTTTATATATCAGGGGAATCCAAATATAGTACAAGTGTATTTATTATAAAGATATATGGCTGGTATAGCCATTTAATGCCACGGTACGGGCTTGAACTA